CACAAAATCCCATCAAACTACCTAATATCGTCACGAAGCTGGGATTCCGACGTTCGCTTTGGTCTTTATACAGTTGATGGAAAAATGAGACAGGAGAACCTGTTCTAAATAAAACTGACAACATATTAGCGGGTTATCCGGGGTAAGGCAACTATCGAAAAATAACAGACTCGTCTAGTCCGTCATCATCGCAAGTTGTGCGCGTCTGGCCCATAATTGAATGTTTGTCGGCTGGTCCATTTTTATCTGATTCTCAGTTATTATCACTACCATCTCTCACACACAAAATGAAGTAAAATATCTTTCAAAGGTGTTTTTACTTCCTTTTTATCGGTTGAATGTACAAATACAAATACAAATATACAACATTCAGAAAGGGGGTCCGCGGCCATACAAAGGCTGCCTGGAAAGATGGGCGGTTGTGGAGCGGTTCGAACCGGTGACTTATGAGTCACAAGTTGGTGACCTAACGACTTGGCCACCACCGCCCAACACAATTGTTCGTGTCGTAAAGTGATTTCTGGCAGATGCTCAAATGTAACGGGTTTTTATCGAATCGAGCTATTGAACCTCTAACGGTTTGCAATTTACTAATCGGTTTTTATATGGCATCTATTCAGGAATGCATAATTTCTAAGCCAGAATACGGTTTTTTATCCTTCCACTTTAGCTTTAAAAGCCGATAAATATCACTGGCATTTGTACAGATGCATCGTTGTTTTTTATCGTTTCTCATAGCATTTCAAGGCAGCTTGTGAAAATGGTCCTTGTTGAATTGTGTTGAGTGAAATGGATCTGAATGTCTTTGCTTCCAGTTCGTCAGTAACCATTACTTGATATAATGCACCCAGTAATTACAGCAAAACCTGGGCGATCAAGCTGCGACTTCTGTACTTCGTTTATGTTACTAGGACTGTTGAACTGATCAACCGCGTTTACGGTGGAACACCAGGACACTTCGGGCTTTCAACCGCTGGACGCTGATATAAATCACAAACGCCCCAACCCAACATTCATAATTAAAAACCCGATATCAAGAGAAAACATGAGTATGAGATGAGAAAAAAGGTTGTAGTTATGAGTGGGTAAGACTTTGAGACACGAGATTGTTCGTGATAGACTACACAAAGGGCTTTTCTTTTGGAACTCTGATCATAGCCTTGGACTCAAAGGTCTGACCCAAATAGCAGTTAACCGTAGATATAGCGCGGGAGCGCAACCCAAGCACCCATATGGCAACCTCTAGAGAGCTGTCACGCAAGGTCTTTGAGTTTTGATTCAGTGTTTTGTCCGCTTGTGCTATGGTTTTCGATTCGTTGCTCGGGATTGGCCCTTAGTTTCGTGTCTCCACTAAGAGACAAGGGAACGTGGACGGGACAGTCTCTTATTGGCTGGGGTTGCTCAGTTTGGGTGGGGGTAGCTGTCCAATGAAGGGCGAAGACCTCTCCAACGATCTTGGGGAAAAGTGAGTAGTTTTATGGAATTTTCCAGAATTGAGCAAACCCAGTGATCAGTGGTGATTGTGCCGACTGCAACAATGTGCGCTTCGATACGAACTAGTTGCCTCTACATAAATATTCGTGGTACCACTAAGTCAATGGAGTGCACTAATATTTGTAAAGGGCGGTTTTGATCAGTGTGCTACAATCACACTGACACACGAACTCATTTTAGAAGAACAACAGCTGTTTATCGTTCTAGATGCACGAATAGCGTGCTCCTTCATGCCAGCAAGATAAAACAAAACAAAGGTTGACACCAAATCGGGTTTTCAGTTATCAGCCTGATGATCTCATTTGTCAACTGAAGAGTACCTCTCACTTTCACAAAGGCTGATATGTACCCTGTAAATATAGCTAGAGAGAAATTAAAAATTAACAAAGGTACCCAAGGTGTTTGGAGGATTGTAAAAGGAGAGGCTTATCATGGGGCGCACAATTTCATCATGGTCTTTTCAAAACCTTCAACGACCTTTGCAGTATTTGAGAAATAATTAATAAATTAGATATAGACCAGAAGAGGTGATTTTAACACAATGTACCCCGGGGCAGTTTGAGCAAGCATCGGATTCTATTAAAACGACTTACCGTGTTACTCAGTTGTCAGTTGACTAACCCGATAGCTATGTGGGTTTATAGTTTAACGAATCTCCTTTATTTAGTAAGCATTGGTTTAGCTGCTTTCTACAAAAAATGATTTCTTGGTTGAGCACACTGTTATACACACACTGACAACAGTGTGCAGAAACATGATCACACTGGATTCCACAACACCACAATCGAATACTTGCCTTCGATCGCGTCAGTCATAGTGTTGATGGATGAGGTATTTGAACTAGAGGCGAGCGATGGAATTCGTCTGCACCAGCTGATCAAATCCACATAGAAGCCCCATGGGGTTCGACTCATCCGATCGCGATCTAGGCCACGATAGGCAGCCTCCGGATGAAGAACGTTCCGAGGAGGCTTGTGGCCATCCGTTATGAGGACAAGAGAACAATCTGGAGGGGTTTGACCAACGGGAACGCCATGTGACTTCAACCATTCTTCGACCTGGAGAAAGAAAAGATAATGAGAACCACGGAGAAGATTTACAATTTGAAGCTGCATCAGTATCCGCTAGTGCCAAGTTTCATAAATTGGAAACAAATAACTACCCCCGTCTCTCACTATCAATTTACCTAGTGAGCCCACAATTGCTTGTATTTTTCAATTTTACAGGGTGTTTTAATTTTACGTAAACTCCGTTAAACTGTAACAAAGCAGCAAAACTATTCGTGAAATAAGAGAATAAATGATACCAACCGCAAACATCATTTGCTTATATAATGCACAACATTTTTGAATAGGTTTTACTGAAGTTCATTCGAGCGAAATAAATACGGCAAAAACTGGAAAACTCAGAAAACGAAACCGAAGCTTTATCCAAATCCAACTACCGCTATGAGTTTTTCAGTGAGAATACTCACCGAATAAAGAACAGGATAACCCCCTGTTATCCTATTAGGAACGAGGCCAAAACTAAACATGGAAGAAGGACAGAAATGTTAGGGAGTAAAGTCAGAATGATAATGTAATTTTTTATATAAAATACTGTGACCACAACTCACACCGCAGTCAATAGGCAGACCGCACAATCCATGAATAGGATAGTTCAGAGGAAAGAGTGAAACGCGAAAGATATTATTCGAGTAGCGGCGGTGACGGATAAGAGATTCCAGATTATTTGGCAGTGAAATTTCGCAACTTCTAGACATGAAGGAAAAACTACCTAATTTTATCAGTGTAACCCGGAATGTGCGGCGCATATATAAACTCATATATATATATGTATATATATATATACATATATAAAGAGTAAAAGGCTCATGATTTGCTTGAAAGTATGATACCCCTAGGTTGAGCAGACCAAAACAAGGGGATCACAACTGAAGCCTTCGGTTGACCAAAGCAGTGTGTGAAAACCGCAATCCATTGGGTACCGGTGTCCAGTTCGTCGGATTATGCATCCTTCAGTCCGGACTAAACGTCCAAGGAGCCCAACACACCTCGATGGCCAATCGAACCGGTGGACAAAACCACGACCAGGATGCTGTGGGTGAGTGTGGTTCGTATGTCCTATCTTGGTTGGTTTGCAATCAGTGTTTTTAGAGAACCCCTCTTGGTGAATCGCCTTTGGTTTCTCGACCTAGTTACGGGTAAGGATGATGTTTTTTCATTCACCCACGTTGGTAGGAAAACACATCACCTACGAGAAGTCAGTGCGTAGAGCTTACTCAGTCGAAGGTATTTGAGAAGCTTGGCCATATGGAAGTATTTCTCGAGGTGCATGGAACGGGTGACCAGTCGCAACCCGAGACATCCACTCCAGACCATACAGAGGCTTCAGAATGTGGGATGAATGCTTGAAATCTATTCCTACCGCGAAATCAACGTACTGCATACGCTACAAACGGGAGAACCTTCAATTGTGTGTGCGAAAAGCCAATGGGACAAAGTGAGCACAAGTGTGCAAATATTCACTAATAAGATTTCAATTAGCTAAAATCAGTATGTGAATGAAGAATAACGTTTGGGTTGGTGGTCAAATCACGGGATAAATAAAGAAAATCAACCTGATTTCGATCAGAATGATTTGGTTAAAAGTCAACTGCATAATGAGAGTTTAACAACTGCAGGAAGATCAAAGTTTCCGATGTCACAAGTAAAGAGATAGGAGAAGAGGAATAGACCCCACATTACACCATTGTTCTTCACTATTGAACGAGAATAATTCCTACTACATTTAGTACCGAAAAATCTAAATACCAATCTATCCTACAAACACGAAATAGAGACCAATAGATAACCAGGAGATTAGTTTGTGAAATTTTAGAAAACGACAAAGTGATGATCAGTAACGCGTGAAGAATATTCAAGATGATATACTCTGAACGAGAGTCTCGGAAAAGAAAAGATGAATTGGACATTATAAAACAACACATCTGCAAACAGAAAAGAACCAGGGGGAACAGTGAAACAAGAAAATAAATGGATAGATACATCAAGCTTGGAAAGTTTGAATCTTCAAAAAGACATCGAAAGAATTTAACTTCAATTTCAGTGGCAAGACTTGGGACTGTGATCGTAGCAACCGATCAATAGGGATTAGAGATAGAAATGATAATGGGTTTTTGAAAACGTTTTCGTCTTGTTTAGTTAGCGACCATCATACTTTAGGAATGCAGATAAGATATTCGATAAGATATCTGACCTTGGTTTGGATGTTCAGTCGAGCTTGGGGGAAGGGGTATTCACCTAGGTAGCCTGATAAGATGAAGTTGGGAACTATATACAAGGATGAGTGGATGAGTGACGAGTTATGCTAACCAACGTCAGCCATGTGAAATGTAGCTGTATTTTGTTGCCCATAAGTATGTTGAATTAACTGCCTAAATAGAGGTCAACTTCAACTTTCGAGTAGTTGATCAGCACGTGACTCACTGAGATGCTTTACTTTCACACTTGATCTCGCATATAGATTGGTGTATGAATGAGAAGTTGTGATTTAAAACCAAATTTATTTTGGCTCCTCGAGGAATTCAGTAAAGAAAAGAGGTTATTCAACCTTGCTGGAGGAACAAAGTTTCATGGAGTTTAATATGGTGTTTATAATTCGTCCCTGAAAAGGTTCACAGAAGATAGAAAGAGGCAAATTAAAAAAAGTGAAAAAACGGCTTTTCAACAACAGCTTTTGCAGATCCAAATAGTTAGAGGAAAGATTCCGGTAATTTGCTCTAACCTGGAGGGGAGTAATTTTTATTCGCAATATAAATAGCTAATCATTGTCTGCGGAAACGAGCAGGTTCAAACAAATCAGTCAATGAATCAGTGATAATTGGGTGTAAATTTGAGGAACATCTTGTAGATCGAATGGTGATAAGACAAATGTAGAAGTACGAATAAAACCGCTAAAATTAATACTATACACTCAATCAAATAAGGAATGACTATTGGAATGAGTGACAAAATAAGTTTATTTCACATTGGGTATAGAATGGAGTAATAGAACACTGTCAGACGATAAAATAACTAAAATATGATGGCATCTGACGGGCTTCCACGGCCAGGAGAAATCAAATCCTTCACAAGTAGTTATGATGCTACGTCAAAGAGGTCGCACCATGCGGCCTACAGAAAACCAAAAACACCGCATTCAAGAAGAGAAAGAATTTACCTCATCTCTGAATGTATATCGGAAGATATTTAAATATTTTTTTATGTTCACAACAGACTCATATCATCAATAAGTGCAAGGGAAAAGTGAACACCGCCATTCTCAGAACGATTCGAAATCACTGACCTATGTGGGTAATAAGTTCGATCTTCCAGCTTTCCTTATTTGTGTCACACAACATTTAAAAACTTTTCTTCCTTCTTCAAATCAATAAAACAGGGTTTTGTTCCCGGTTTTCAGACCAGATGTCCGGATTTGTCGAAATCAGATAACGCAGACTTTTAGTTTTATTTTCCCACAACAAAATTCCGTCATGGTAAGCCTATCTCGATTTACTTAGATATGAGTAAACATGTGTTCGGGGAACAGCTGTTGCTTTGATAAACGCAGGTCAGAAAAATAAAAAAAAATAGGTTACCTGCCAGTGCATTTGTTGGCACATGTGTAGGGGAAAACATTTGCGAATGTATACCAGGGAAACAACACGGCAGAGGACAGATACACGGATTACGAGAGACAGAATTTGCTGTAGTAATTACCATTATCAATGCGTGTGCCCAACAAAGCTGGGAATGACTGGCCCTTCTGAGTGTCTTTAGGAATAATGTGAAAATAGGAAACCCTGAGTAACCTTTATTCACATGACTCGTAGGATGAGAAGACAAACAAAGCAGATCTATTCAATTCCTCGATTGATTGGGGCATTGTGAACAAACGTATGCTGTTGTCTTCAGCAACCAGACCCAATGTAGGAATGGAACTTGGAACTGCAAGTGAATTGGGGTTATGACAATAATGAGTACATTGTTCTACACACTTGACTTATGTTTCCGAAAACGGACTGTGCCACTGAATAGTTAAACACGTAGGAAGAAATAAAAACATTACTGCAGGTTATTCCCATTTGCACAGCTTGTGGAGAATGACCTCATTAATGCTGTACGTTTAGAATCGTGTGCCAGATTATTTTTTGCTGTGACAACTTATATAGTTCAAAATGGGTTCGGAACTTGATATTCAACTATATTTTGAATATTCATAATTGAATATCTTCACTTATTTGCAGCGACAGAACATACCAGAGCGTTTTACTACAATCTAATAGAGTGAGCCAATTATTCATCGATTGGCACAATCAAACAACTGAAACATTAGCAGCCTAGATAGATTCAATTTCAATGACAATAGCTTAGCGTTGAATTTATGGTTGGATCCCAGTCCGGAAGCAAGCCCAATTGGAATTCATATAACGATAACTGAGGTGCACACGTAGCAGCTCAATTTGAGTTAATTAACAACATACAGAAAGTGGCGCTAAGGCTACGATTCGCATAGGTTTTTGTATGACTGTCATGAAAATGCGATAAAACTGTCAGGTTATTTAATTGTAACATAGACTGTATTAAAACGATGAACCGAATTTTTAGATTATTCGATACTACTGGTATCGATCGCATCGTTCAATGCCAAAATATTTCAAGTTCAGTGTGCTCAGTCGGTTGACTTTCCGTCGGGTCGGACCGATGAAAAGAACCATACACTTTTTTTACAAGCAATAGTAGACAAGCAGAAGTGATATACGTGCCCCTATTTTTACGCCCGACGGGGATTGACCCTGCTGACTTATTACCGGCACCAAC